GAAAGTCAACGGTACAAACTGGTTCTTTGAACAGTCAATAAAACGTTGGGTGTGGGAACATACTACTGTAACCCCAGCACTCTGGAGGGTGAGAATCAAAAGCTCAAAGCCATCTTGTGCTACACAGTTCCAGTTCTGGCTGGACTACAAAGCAAGAGTCTGTCTCAAAAAAAAAAAAAAAAGGAAGGAAGGAAGGAAAGAATGAAGGAGGAAGGGTAGGAGAGAAATCAAGAGAAGAAAGGCTGGGGGAGTGGCTCAAGCGTTAAGTGCCTGCCTAGCAAGCATGAGGCCGTGAGTTCAAACACCAGTATCGCCAAAAAAAAAAAAAAAGTATTAAAAAAACAACAAGAGAAGGAATAAAAGAAAGAAAAGGAAAAACAAAAGTCAAGAAAATTGGTATATCCCTAAGAAGAAAGGAAAGAAGACAAATACACCATAACAGGAAGGAAAGGTGGGGAACATTGCTGATTCTACAATCATTACAAAATAAGAGAATACTATGAGTGACTTTTTACACATGAATCCCACAACTTAGATGAATTGTCCAATCCCTTGAAAGAATTTTCTCCTTGTCCCCTTTCCCCCTCTCCCTCCAGGGTGAGAATCCAGCTGTGGGAACTGAACTTTCTACTCCACTGAAGGCACAGAGGGCTTTCACTAATACCAACACCATGGATGATGGTGTGTACCTACCTGTAGTCCTAGCTAGTCACCAGGCTGAGGCAGGAGGATCACTGAGCCCAGGATCCAGATCATCCTGAGCAACCTAGTGAGACCCATCTTGAAAGCATTACCTTTTGAACTACAGCCCCTATTTGTTTTGCCATGGTCACCCAGCAATAATGTGATTCCACCAGACAAGGTCTTGTGCATTTTGTTCAGGGTGCTGGATATGAGTGGTGGGTGTGGGGATCCTGCCTGACAGAACCCAGCATGCCTTCCCCACAGGGATGCAACACAAGGTAACCGCATTTCTCTGTGTGCCTCACTATCCCCCATCACCAGGGAGATTGGGAGGTGTTTTCCCCTGGTGCTGAGCCTTCCAATACCCTGTGCCAGGGTTGCACGTCCAGGTTGCTCCTTCGGCTGGAAGGAACCCTGAGCCTGCTCTCTTCTCTGATGAACGACCAGGACTGCCTGGAGCGAAACTGTGGCTGTGGGAGGATAGATCCTGGTCCTCGGTGGCCCCCACCCAGGTTTTGTCTGGCAACCAGGAATTCCATCCTGAGGTCTGCCCTGCAGTGCAGGGCAAGATCAAGCTTGCCCACTCGTGACTAATGCTTTGTCCCCAAAGTCCAGCCTGCAGGGCCAACCCTAAAACACTTCCTGCAGTTCCTCCCAGGGGTAGAGACCCCACCAGGGGATGGGGGCTTAGGTAGGCAAGAGGAAGAGAGAGTCCTAGGGGATCCTGGAAGTCTGAAAATGAGTCCAGTTTTTGTTCTTAACTTGTCTGCATCATTGCTGAAATTAAGGACAACCGGGAAAAACATTAATTGCTTTTAACTTCACTGTTTAGAGTAAATAAGGTCTTCAGCACAATCTTTTTTCTTTTATTTCTCTTGGGGGGCGGGGGAGGAATCAAACCTAGGGCTTAGTACTTGTAGGCAAACATTTTACCACTGAGGTACTTCCCCAGCCTCTCTTCAGCATTTTTCTCAAAAGGCAGCATAAAGGTATTTCTAAATATGTCTTTGCTAAAGCAAAATACAGGTTAACAACAGAATCAAGACTTCTGAGTTTGATCAAGGCAATACAACAGGGAGCATGAAATACTGACTACACAAATGAAGACTTGTGATTTTTTGTTAAAAAGAACAAAGACTAACCTCAAGTATTTTTTTTTTCCTGCTACAAAGTAAGAAACAAACAAAAAGGTTGTTACATAGAAAAAAGAGAAGACATCTTCCTTTCTCTGCGGTTCCCTCTCCAGTCCACCGCTCCAGGTGCTGGTCAGCTCTGGGTTGTGGCAGTATACTGCTTTCTTTGATTAGGGTTTGATGAAAGGGCCACTTTGGTGGAGTAGGAGGGGGCAGGGAGAACAAAGGAAAAGGTGACAGGTATGAGGGAGGAAGGGGAGGTTCAGCAGGGCAGGATGGGTGGGACAGGCTGGGGCCTGGGGAGGGGTGGGGGGCGGCAGAGATGAAGGAGAGAGTGTGGGAGGATTCTGGCAGAAGAGAAATAGAGGTGGGGTGGGGTGTGGAAACCGATATTGAGCACATCTAAGGGGTCCTTGTGAACCTTGTTAACACAAACCCAGATATTCCAGGAGCACTAGGAAATCAGGAAACTTTGAAATGTGGTCTGTTCTGAGCTTGACTTGAAGGGTGCACGCCTCTTTTGTTTTTGCTCATTTTGAACTGCATTTAGGGAACCTGTTACCTGAAAGTTTCTCTGAACAATATGACTTGACTCCAGGGAGTCTGTGTCAAGCTCTCTGAGAGTTTACTGGAGATCTGTGCCACTATCCAGACTCGAGGGGAGGAAGACAGACGGTGTCCTGGCGTCCCATCTTGACCCTTGGTTGGGGGCAGGAGACTGAGATTTAAGCCCAGCAGCATCTTTCTCCAATCACTACCTTCCCACCCCACTCCACACTCCTTCCTGTGTCTTTCTGTGAGATGGTGTTCAGTGTTCCTTGGTCTCCGACAGTTCTGCATGTTGGTTGTCATCTCACTTTGGAATCTTATGCGTTTTACTAGTCTCAGCTGAAATGCTTATTTCAGCTTGTTATGCACAAGTCTGTAGGACTTGTTTGGCCACTCTTTGAAGTTGTATTTACAGTGATGTGTTGCTTAATGACAGGGACACATTGTCAATGTTGTGCAAACATCAGAGTATGACACTAAGACTGGCCAAGACACAATCTTGGGGTCAGTCGTGCATGTGGTCCAGAATTGCCTTAAACACCAGTAGGCGGTGCTTGATTATATTTAACTCACTTAAGCGTACTCAGGTTCCCCATGGTACCATGGCAGAGCCACCAGAACAATGACCCACTGCCTGCCCTGTTGCAAATCCTTCTCCTCACTTAGGATTATTGGTACAGTACATGACACATATCCCACTTTATAATGGCTTAAGATAGGATTCATTTCTCTCATTTCAAACGTTTTGTTGTAGGTGAACCAGGGCTATTTTGGCAGTTTCAGTCACCAGGGACCCAGGTTTCTAGCTCAACAGGATCCTACCTCTAGGGTGCAACTGAGCTGTCCTCATTACCCAAGATGGAGCAACAGCCATTGTCCAGCCATTGTAACGGCTTCCAGGCAGAAGGCAGAGGAGGAAAAGTCTGTTGAAGCAAAATTCCCATCAATTCAGTCCTTCAGTTTCTACTTCACTGACCAGAATTTAACCACTGTCAAACTAACTATAAGTTGGACTGGAAAGTCAAGTCTTTTCAGTGGGTTCTTGGTCCTTTAAAGCACTGGGTTTAATGGCCTTTATAATGGTGGGTTTTGCACCCATGATGGTTTAATCAACATTCACTTTCACCCCCTTTTAACTCTTCCTGGCCACGATTTTAACTCTTTACAGTTTGCTGGACTTTTCTTGATTCCTCAGTCATGCTTCTAGCTCAGAACCTTTGCACTTCTTGTCCCTCTTTCTGTGACACTCATTGCTCAGCTGTCCTCATGCACTAGAATATTCTACTTAAAGCTACATCCTTACACAATATTTCACTGGCCATCTGAATTAAAATCACATCATTTGTTTCCTTCATATGCTATACCCTTGACCTGTTTTCTTTTGCTTCAAAAACTTTATAACCATCTGATGAATCTACTTAATTCAGTTTATCATTTGTGTTTTGCATTATAGTGAGCTCCAAGAGAGAAGGTAACTACTGTTTCCACTGATATAATCCCAAGGCCTAAAAGAAAGTCTGACACATGGCAGGCATTAAGTATTTATTTAAGTAATAAATAAAATCTTAAAAAAAATGAAACACTGGGTTTAGTAGAAAAGGGGAGGGATACCAGGAGGACACTTTCATCTGTGCCACTGTGTTTATTAGGATTCTTTTGCTTCTCACGTCTTCCATTCCAATATCCTAACTCATGACCCAACCCCAAACCTAGCATGCTTTTAGCAAAGATAACATTTTTGGGTTTTGTTGGGACTGGGGTTTGAACTCAGGGCTTCATGCTTGCAAAGCAGACTCTACAGCTTGAGCCAAACCTCCACTTCATTTTGCTCTGGTTGTTATTATTATTATTATTATGGGAGATAGGATTTCTTGAAGTACTTGCCAGGGCTGGTCTTGAACCTCAATCCTTCAAATACCAGCCTCTCAAGTAGTTAGGACTACAGGCATGAGCCACAAGCACCAGGCTCAAAAATTGATCAATCTTCTATAAGGTTTTCTCTTCTTTCTTTACATTGGAGAAATGCAATTAGAGTTGAACTTTAAGGTCAGAAAAGGAGTCCTAATGATAATGTCCCTCCCAACTTCACTGCTTCTTACAAAGCAGTGCTCATTTTCTCTTCATGAGTTTAGTATAAGTGCTCATGTATAAGCAGTTATTAGCTAACTCTTTATAGCTCATCTGTTCTCATCACTTCACTCTTAGCTCAGGTAGGGCAAAGTCTGCTCTGTCAAGTGATTCTGTTGTATCCCAAAGTGAATCACACATTCAGGCAACTAGGTAGAGAAGGGGAGGGGTGACTGATATTGAAAAAAAAATGTCAGTGTCCAGCTACCTTTAGTAATTTTGGTGTCATTGGTCTGGAGTGTGGCCTGGACATAGGTAATTTTCAGTATTCCAACCATAGCACGCTCTTGTGTGCAAAGAGCTGTGATTCACAGCTCCAGATTACTTGTGTGCACACAGTGCCTGGGGTAGGCACTCAGCCTGGCCCTCACACCTCTGCAGGTGCTTCCTGCTGTGCCTTCTGCCTTTAACCCTTTTTCTCCTCCTCCTTACTCAAAATTTAGTCAAACACATCAGGCAATGGAAGAGAAGCAACATTCAAATTATTTTTTATTTTTCAGAATTTCCAGAATCAAGGTCTCTACTGAGCAAGTAGAAAAATAGAAAAGTTAACTACTTTTAAAAGGCAACTATGACAAACAAGTATGTTCTCAGGAAGGGGGCTCCTAGGACTCAAACGCATGTGAGTTCAGCCTCAACACAGTGTGGACTGCAGCATCGCTGCAGACAGAAATGTGTCCCCCATATCCTGAGATTTGAGACTGAGTTTCTCTGCAGAGCTGGTACTGAAGTCAAGAGGCCTTTCCGGCCCGCCTAGCTGGCCCAGTCCTGAAACCGGAAGCAGTCACTTGCTATCTTCCACACTGTGTTGCTGGGTGAGGCTTGAGCAGTCAGGATGAAGTTCTGGTTGAAGTCCCGCTGTTTGTTGCCTTCAAACTTCACTGTCCCACAGATCACGACAAGGACTGTGGTCTGGCTCGGTGTGGCTTCATCATGAACAGGCTGGCAGTCCACCACGTTGATTTGGAACTCACTGGAAGGCAACATTTCAAAAAACTCGCTCAAGGATTCTTGTCCTGACACGGCATTTCCATTCCATACCAGGGTGGCTGTGCCCATGTATAGACGGGATAGCAGCCGCCGCCGCTTATCCATGGTAGTATAGTAGACATTGACAAACTCCTCAGCAGCTCTACAGGCCTGATCCACATAGGTCTTGAAGTCCACAGATGCCATCTCTGGTTCTATGGGAGGCAGCTTCTGCCAGAGGGTCTCTCTGACCTGGGGGAGCCAGGAGCTGTAAGGTAGTCAGGGTGAAGGGAATGTGTGTGAGTGCTTAAGTTCATTTTGCCCTCATTATCTTCCTTTTCTACTGGTGGCAAAACAGTTATATACTGCAGACAGATGATGACTTTAGCATCAAACTGCATCCTATGCTTAATCTTACTAAGTCTCAGTTTGCTCACTGTAAAATGGGAATAATTCAACTGTGGCATAGTTGTAGTCTGAGAATTAAATAAGACAGTGTACATCAGGTGTTAAGAAACTTGTATCCACATGTTCATACCCATGTATATACTATGGGTATGATTTTTGTTTTTTGGTAGGACTGGGGTTTGAACTAAGGGTCTCATGCTTGCAAAGCAGGAATCTACCACTTGAGCCACACTTCCAGTCCATTTTGCTTGGTTATTTTGGAGATGGGGGGGTCTCATGTACTATTTGCCCAGGCTGGTCTTGAACCATGATTCTCTTGATCTCAGTCTACCAAGTAGCTAGGATTATAGACGTGAGTCACTGGTGCTCAGCTACTATGAGTTTTTCTAACCCCATTTTATGGGCTGAGGATGTGGCACAAGTAGTAGAACATCTGCTCTGAAAGATCAAGGCTCTGAGTTCAACTGCCAAATAAAATCCCATTTTATTAAACAGAATACATTTGACAATGAAAGGCCATGATTTTCTGGAAGCCTGGAATAGGTACAACTGTCCCTAGAGAAACAGGGAAGCTGTTTATCCTGGGTGAAGACAGTGGATCATGCTGAAAAACACAAGTGAACACCGACCTAACAAAGGCCAGTCAGAGAGACAGCATATGCCTGCCAGCTAATGAGTATAGGAAAGAATATCATGAGCTCACCCACAAAAATCTACACAATAGCCTCCCAATTGTTGGAACTACAGGTGTACACCATCAAACCTGACTTGAGCAGGTTTCTTAAGAGTTTCTTAAGAGGGTAAGAGAGCAAACACTATTAAGAAGGGACCAAAATGATGGCTAGAATCCCCATGATAAGTTAAAGCAACAAATCTGAAGATGAGTGGAATTAGAAAGGAGATGGCCCAGCTTCTGTGGCACTAACATGCACCAGTAAGCCCCAGGTAACCACAATGCCACAACAGAAAGACATCTTAGAAATTCAAAGAGGTTCTTGGGGATGGGAGGTGGATACAATGAATTTTATCTGTACCTGAAATGTCACATTCCCTTAAAAAAAAAACCAAAAAGACAGTAGAGGGCAATATTACTAAAAATAGTGGATACATGTAGATTTAGAAACTTATTTAAACAGTGAATAATTTTCTCATCTCAAAGACTTTAACTTTTTTTTTTTTTTTTTTAGTATCAGCTTATGAAAGAGGAGTCACATAGGGCTGGGAAAGTGATGAACTCTTAGGGCAAAGAGCTAGTCTTGGAGATGAGCAGTTAAGAGCCAGCCTAAGACTCCATGGACCTGGGAGTGAAGCCTCAACAAACGTGCAGAACCAGTATTTGCTAAATATATTATCTAGATTCCTCCCCACAAGTGGATGGGAAGGGCACTGCTGTAACAATTTTACAAGTGAGAAAAGGCAAACTTGTGTACTCCTCATTTATCACTTCCAGGAAAGTGAGGGGCCTTGACAATTTTGTCAAGACTATGCTGCCCTTTTATTTGCTTATTTTTAAAGTTCCTGCACTTTTAGTTGCCTATGACAACACAACTCGAGGGCAGCTGGTTTGGAAACTTCTTCCCAGGGACGCAATACACTGGTTCCCCCCCCCATCTCCAATCCATCTCAGAGCCACCCCTTTCCCCCACCTCTATTCCTAGCTCCCATGTTCCCTTCTGTTGTCTTTCCAAACACAATCCAACACCTGCCATCCCCCCTGGCCCCATCCCCAAAGCGATGATCACTTCCATTTCTGGTTCTCACTCACCTACAGAATCTGTCCATCTCTATCAAAGCAGAAAAAGTAAGACTGAAACAACCTGGTTGTGAAAATCTCCTTCTCTATGTAGTCTACACTGTCAACTTCTTTGGAGCTGGACAAGAGAAGCTGCAAACATAGCGCAGGTCACATTTCCAGCGGGGAGTCATTACTAATCGCACCCTTGACAGAAGCATGCTTCTCCGGGCCCCAAGACTGCTCCTCTTCTCATTGCAAGGCAAATTTACCAACAAGCCTTTTGCACAGGCAAAAAAGCAAAACAAAAAACTGATAGAGAACCACAAAGACACCATGGAAAAAAAGGACAAAACCTGGGTCTTATTATTGACGATAGTGGGGGTGCTGAGCGCAGGAGGGATCTCAAAGGTCCCTCGGTTTCGTCGGTGTCCCAGACTGCCAGGCAGGGGCGGTAACCTACCTTCGCGGTAATGTCCCGGTCAGCGACGGTCCGGGGACTCGCGTCCAGGAGCCCCCCGAACCGGCCGCGGCTCATCGGAGTCCAGGCGCCCCCCGCACCGGCCCCCGAAGGTCACGGGGTGAGCCTGTTGAGGCTCCGCGCTCCTCCACCGCTCGCCTCCGGCGGGTGTTCGGGAAGAGCCTCCCTTCTCTCCTCCTCTTCCTCCCGGAAAGCTCCGCCCGAATCACCGAGATCCCAGAGGCGGGGAACGTTTCTGCGCTGTCCGTAGGTTCCCGCGCGCGGCGCGCAACGCTCTGCGCAGACTCGAGCGCCCCGGCAGCTCCCCCCTCCTCCTGATGAACAGCTAGGTCAGCCAGTAGTACAGCGATCTGGAAGGCTGGCTCCGCCTAGGTGTGGCTCAAAATGAGAGGCGGTTTCCGGTACAGGCATCTTCCCAGAAGGACCCCATCAAAACCGTGCTCAAGTTTTCATTGGTCCAACTGGTTAAGGCGAATCCATTCAAAGGAATGGATTAAATATTCCAGATCCCGCCCCCGGAAATGAGGGTATGGCTAGTTTGTCCAGCTGCGTAGGCATTACTTGGCCGGAGAAGCTGAGGAAGATGTCTGTTAAGTGAGGTACCTGCTCCACGTTCTCCATTCACCTGTATTGGATTCCATGAGGACTCGGGAAACTTCACGGCTTGATGCATCACACAGCAGCATGACCCAACTAAGGCTCTCAAGCAGACATGGGGCACCGCGGAGAGGTCGAAGCCGATGAGGCCCGGTGGAGTCTATGGGATCAAGTACCCGAGTTGACCTCGCCTCTTGTTAGTTAAGCCGCTTAAAGTGGACGTCCTAATGGGCACCGGGAGAATCAGTTTTAGTGAAGTGAGAGGGCAGAGACAAGGATGTGAACGAGGGTGCAGTGGCAGAGAAGTACGCCAAAGGGAAACCATGGCAGGTGGCCGTACCGTGCCCTGTGAATTGCGGGGCCCCCACCTGCCTCTAACTTTAGCTCAGATCTTGGTTGTTACTGTAATTCTATTCTTCAGTATTGAGCCTAGCTGCATTTCCGATAATCAGGAATGAATTTTTACTCAGTGTTAAACCGAATGGAACCATTTGGTGTGGGGTTTTGGAAAACTATAAAGTATAAATTGAAAAAACTCAGAACAAAATAACTTGTTTTCCTCAACACAAAGCTCCCAGCTTCATTTGTTGGTCTGAGAGGCTGAATGATTCCTTGCCAGGCTGGGAGAGCTCTCTGGGGATGGCTAAGTTATATGAAATGGCTTAGCCTGTACTTTTGGGGGGGAATCTGGGGATGCTGAGGCTTGAACCCAGGGCTTCATGCATGCCAGCCGAGTGGTCTTCCACTGAGCTACACCACCAGTTCCCTAACCTATACTTTACTCTTTTTTTGCGAGTAAAGCAGGAGAGTTTATTGAGATAGAAAAGTGTAAAGTGGGAGAACTGAGCCCCCAGAGTTGGGGGCTCCCAAGAAAGGGTGCCCCTAACCAACACTTTCTTGGAATCCTTCGATTCTTTTCCTAAGGGAACCCTTGCTCTCAGACTTAGGACAACTTTAGAAACTAGGTGGGCTGTTAATATAGGCTACTCCCCACTTCAATCAAGTAGGTGAAAAGTTTGCATTATTTAAAAATTAGTTGGAATTTTGAGTTGAGAAGGTAAATGAGTGTCTTCTGAGCAGTGGTCACACCAAAATGGCTTCCCAAATGCCTCCCCCCAAAGCAGTTAAATTAAGAATTTCCTATATAAAATCCATGACAGCATTAATGGAGAGAAAATGAGAAAGAGAGTTGACTTACAGCATATCCAGTAGACTGGATTTGCTGCTTTAAATTTTCTCATGTGTCCTATCTCCTTTTCATTTCTTATAATTGTTTGGAGAAGGTATTGTTATTCCTGATTTTACAGAGAAGGAGGCTGAGACAGAAATTAAATAACCAGCCTGGAGACACAGTTCAAATCTAGAAAAACTGGTTAGGGGAGCGTTTATCCAGCTCCTAGGACTTGTAAGAGCATAAGATTTTAATTGTGAGAAGCAGAAGAGCCAGCAAAAGGAAGGTAGGAGGGCAAGGACTTTTCAGTTTTGTGTCCCTAGCATCTAAAATTGTGCCTAACAACTGTAAGGACTCAATAAATCCTTTTTGAATAAACACACAGGCTTGGTTCCAAGTCATTGCTCTGTAACATAGCCCTCCCAACAGCTACTGCCCCCAAGAAACGCTGGGATTGATTTATTCCTTCTATGGTCCTTGAGACTGGGGGGATAAGAGGCACCCTTGGCTTTAAGAGACATATCATTGGCACTGTAGTCCCCAAGCACAATTGAGGGTGGTGGGAGGCTCAGGGCCATGGAGACTGGAGAAGGTGTTTGCTAGAGGATTCTGGGAAAGGAACCTTTTCTTTCTCCCTTCTGGACATGTATGTGGATGGCACTGTGCAGTCATCTTGTCACCCTGAGGGGGAATCCCTTGATGTTCAGGGAGACAGGAAAGGTACGAAGAAATTGGGTTCTTGATGACTGTGTTGGTAGCCCTCTGTTTAGGGCTTTACTGTTTGTAGAGTCAGTGTTTAAAGGCGTAAACATAGTCACTTGCAGCTTCACTAGTGTGGCTTAGATCATTAGTAGGGTAACTGTGGCAAGTGAGTTTTACCTTTCTGGGTCTCAGCTGCCTCCTTTGTAGAGTGGGGTCAGAAATAAGGAGCCGAGCCGATGTAAGGAGTGAAGAAAGCAGTGTTGGGAAAGGACTTTATATGGGGCTGAGCCCAAAGTAGCTTCCAAAAAACAATAATAAGGCAGAATTATGCTAGGACATTTTACATCAACAGCAACTGCTTCATTTGCCAATAGTTCCTCCAACGACTGGCTTTTAAACTTGGACAAGCATATTGACAAATTGGTGGGATTTGTCACCTGCTCACATGGGCACCTTCTAAAGATAAGCCTGGCTTAAGCAGTTGTGGAGTCCGTCCAGGGAAGAAGGACACATCTGGTCACACACAGCATCTCTGGCATCTCTGGAGGCACAGAAGATGGGCCTGACTTAAGGATCTTTAAATCTGTAAACACAGGATTGCTCTTCTCCCCCATTGTCAATGTTGTTCCCTGGATCTGGATCTTAATAGCATTTGTTTGCCATGAGCAGTTAAATCACTTGGAGCCAGTTGATTCATAGCAGTGGCTGGCAGTCACACTTCAGATGCACTGCCACCAAAACCACGTCTTTCTCTCTGTCTGCCTTAGCAGAGCCATCTGACCTGCTTTGAACCAGTGTGAACTGGGGCTGTATTTCTGTGAGCTCATTTATTAACTAAACTTGGCAGAGACACTGAGGGCCATGGAATAAACTTACTATAGGATCAGACTGTATTTTGTGAAATTTGCTGTCTGTCTTCTCTGTCCCACAGTTACTGTATCTGTAAAATGGAAGGGTGGACTCTAAAGACTTTAAATGGCAATGCATTGAGGAAGCACTATGTGGAGCATTTCCGTAGCCTGTGATACTGCCCTTTGAAAAGTCCATAGAGCTCACTGCTGATTAAGTATTAGGTGACCCTCTTCCCAGCTTACCCACCAGCCATCTGGAATTGTGTGGGTGTGGGTGTGTATGGTGGCTGAGTGGTGGGGTGCAGCACACATGTCTACAGAGCCTATATGGGATCCAAATGGAATATAGGTATTTATCAGTATTCCTTACAAGTAACAAAAATCCATTTGTGGCTAGTTTAAACCAAAAGATGCTTATAAGAAAACTGCTTGCAAAGTCCACAACTGGCATTAGTAAGGTAACTCCTGGAGTCTAGGAACAAGAACTGAGAAGCAGGTGCTTTTGGGCTGTGATGGACTGCTGGAGCTTATCAGTTTCCAACCCCTGGGATTCTCCACTTAAGTCAGATTCCAGAGAAACAGTGGACTGACCCAAGTCCAGCCATGTACCATCTACCTGCTGGACCACTTTGGGGAGGAAGTTTCCCATGGAAATGGAGTTTAGATGCTGACTCTGAAGGAAATGGGAAGGGATTCCAGGAAGGTAGGAAGAACAAAGACCCAAAAAGAGCTGAGGTGTGGCCATCTGTCTCCCATCTATGCACAGATGGGAAAATGGAGCAGAAGCAAAGGCCATGTGACCTAAGAGAAGGGAAGTTTGGACTAAGACATACATTTGTTCATGCAGGCTCATTTGTGCACACTCACATACATATACACATGCTCACACATGTGCCCACACACATTAACATGCATGTTCACAAGCTCATGTGCATGTATAGTCGTATGCACACTCCCATGCTTACACACACATGGAATGTGTTGAGACAAAAAAAAATCCGGCTTTCCTATTACATAACAGAACACTATGAAACTTAGTGGCTTTTTCAGGACAATGGTTTATTTCATCCACAGATCTGTTATTTGGGGTGGTCTCAGCAGGGTGCGTAAACGTGTGTGTGGGGGTGGGGGGATCAGCACGCATAGAGTGTAACTGCCTTGATTCCCAGTGTTCTCATCTCTTATTGTGACAGGTTTTCCAAACTGGTCACAAAAATTCTGATTTCTGCTCTTGTAGAACCTTGCCTTGTCCCCCAGCCCCATCAGGAGATTGTGTTGGGTGTCTTCCCTTGGACCAGGCAGGCCTGTGTGTGAGCTCAGAGGAAATTGTTGCTCTGGAACAGCTGCACTTGGGCCATAAAAGGAGCTGTAGCCTGTGCCACACCCTCTCAGCATGCTTGTACCCAGAACTGAGCTGCCAGCTGAACTCCCACAACAGTTAGTGCTCAGCAGTCAGTTATGTAACTCAGCTTAAGAAACAGATCCTCTGGTTCTTGCTTGGGCAGGCTCAGCTGTCACAGCATAGGGCAGAAATGAGCCTACCTTGCTGAGCCCAGCCTGAATAGCAGATTTGTGGGTGAAATAAATGATTGTTGCCAAGTTAAAGCCTCTGTTTCATACATAGTGTTCTGTTATGCAGCAGGAGAGCCAGATTTTTTTTTTTAAGCTCAGGCTGGCCTGCTACTTGCTATGTAGCCCAGGCTGGCCTTGGAACTACCAGTTCTTTTACCTCAGCCTCATAAGTGATGGGATTACAGATCTGGGCTACCATGCTTGTCCAGATACCTATTCATCACTGTCCTCTTCGGTCCT